CCAACTATGAACAGAATAACTCCCTGTTACAACAAAAATTTGCTCAATTACTCACGAGCACAAGGGGCAACAGTGCTGGGTTGAGAAACCTTGACATTATAGGTTCTACCTGTTTTTTTAAAAATTCTACTACTAACTTATACAAGAAATCAAGAATTTACTTTTTAAATATTTTACTATTTTTATGTGCATGAGTGTATTGCCTGCATGTATGTAAGTGCACCTGTGTCATGCAATGCCTGTGGAGGTCAGAAACGGATGTTGGATGGATAGTTGTTAGCTGCCATGTAGGTGCTGGGAATCAAACCCAGGTCCTTTGCAAGACCATCCAGTGCTCTTAACTACTGAGCCATCTCTCCAGTCCCCAAATCAAGCACAGATCTTCACATAGTTGGATTCTGTTCATTATACTCCCATTATAGTTTGAAAGGTTTGGCCATTTTTTATTCCCTATAAACTAATAGTTTCATCTAGAGACCTAAGATTCAGTTAGGTTTTATTTTTCCAGTTGTTTGGCTGCTAGTTGTATCTTATGTGTATGAGTGTGTTTTGCCTGCATGTAAGTGTATTATTTTCATTTTTCTTTTTGGTTTTTCAACAGTCTCCTTACAGCACCAGTGGCCTAGAACTCCCTATGTAGAAGAGGCTAGCCTCAGATCTCATAGAAATCCACCTACCTCTGCTGGGATTAAAGGTGCGTACCATCATAAAAGGATTTTTGTTTTGTTTGTTTACAACCTGGAATATTTCTAGCAAGAAACTTTTCAACTACTATTTGACTAACAGCAGTCTCCATATGGCAAAGACAGAATAAATATTTAGTTCTCCCTTGTTTACCTATCAGCTATGAAAATGAGCAACTTCCAAAATCCTCCAAAAGAAATACACCAATTTTTCTTTCTGTAGTAGTCTGTGATGGATTCAGACATAACTAAAGCACATCAATCCACTGAAGTTTTCTTATTGATGCTGCAGTTATCTTTGGCCAATGGGAGCATCAAGTTGGATGCTGAGATCTCATTACCTAATCCTAATGGTCTTTGTACTTTTCCATCAATTATGATAAACATATTCAAAGCTTACTCAAAGCTTGAAAATCAAGTATTTCTCCAAGAAATGGTTCTTGTGAGGAGATTGTTGTCAATTTTTTAAAAAATTTAGTTCTAGACCATTTATCACATTTTAAAACTACTTCTTGAGCCGGGTGGGGTGGCACATGCCTTTAATCCCAGCACTTCAGAGGCAGAGGCAGGTGGATCTCTTTGAGTTCAAGACCAGCTTGGGCTACATAGTGAGTTCTAGGTTAGCTGAGGCTACAGGGAGGACCCTGTCTAAAGAAAAATTAAATAATAACAAAAAGTCCAAAAAACAAAAGAGAAAACTACTTTTAGCCTTTGTTCTTTGGAAATATTCTTTCTAAAATTCTTACTATTTGAATATGTTAGCATGTTTTGCTCTGTTCTGCACATCATTTTTTTAAACATGTGTCATGGCACATATGTAGAGGTCAGAGGACAACTTGAGTGAATCAGTACTATCTGTTCACCAGGGGATCAAACTCAGGTTGTCAAGTCTGGCTGCAAGCACCTTTACTCATTGAACCATCCTGCTGGCCCTCATTTACCTTTCATGTTTTCTATTTTTAATCTTTTCTTTGTTTTCTAAGAAAGCTCTATAATCAGCTCTAATAGTTACTTGTTTAATCTTCCTGTGGTTTGATTTTATTAAATTTAATTAATCTATTTTTACTTTCAGTGTATGAATATTATGCCTGCATGTATGTAAGCGCACCCATGTTGTGCTGTGCCTATGGAAGCCAGAAAAGAAGATGGTGAATCCCCTGGAACTGGAGTTATGAATGGTTGTTAGCAACCATGTACATGCCAGATATTGAACTAGAGTCATCAGCAAGGGCAGTCAGTGCTCTTAACAGCTGAGCCACCTCACCAGCCCCTAGGCTTAGATCTTAACAAATGTCTATTTCTACTGTTCCTCTTTCTATGGATTATCTAGCACTGTACATTAAGGAAGGACTTAAAGGCATAAGCTAGTTCTCTATTCTTGTCCCCTCTTTTCAAAAGCATATTAAATGTGCTTCATGTTTAAAAAAATGTAAAGATAGCTGGGCGTGGTGGCGCACGCCATTAATCCCAGCACTTGGGAGGCAGAGGCAGGTAGATCTCTGTAAATTCAAGGCCAGCTTGGTCTACATAATGAGTTCCAGGACAGCTGGGGCTACAGGGAGACCCTGTCTCAAAAAAACCAAAAAAAAAAAAAAAAAAAAAAGTAAAGATATACTTTGCATGCTAATCTAAAAATTAACTTTATCAAAAGTAAAAATAGTCCTATTATTTTTTGTTTTTCCAACAACATTTCACTGTATAACCTTGGCTGACCTCAAACTCCTTATATAGACCATGCTGACCTTGAACTCAGAAATCCATCTGCCTCTGCCTCCCAAGCGCTGGGTTTAATGACGTGCATCACCACGCTTGGCTCAATATTCCTATCATTAAGAAAATATTTCATATTTTAGGAGATTGACGAGATGGCTCAGTGGTTAAGAGCATTGGCTACTCTTGCAGAGGACCCAGGTTTGGTTCTCAGCACCCATATGGCAGCTAACCACCATTGAAAACTCCAGTTCCAGGGGATCAGATGCCGTCTTCTGACCTCCATGGGCATTTATAGCACAGGTACAGTTCCACACATGCAGACAATACACTCATAGACATAAAATAAAAATAATACATTTTTTTTAATTCAAAAAGAAAATATTTTAATAGTGATTTTCATTAGAAATAATTAAAATGACTAAAGTAAATAAAAAAAATCTCACAGCAGCATGCTATTTTTCTACATTTTCTTCATGTTTTTGCCACTGACATTTTCAAATTCTAATCAGGGCTAGGGGTGTGGCTCAGTGGAGAAATATTTATCTAGCACACACCAATCCCTGAGGTTCAATTTCTAGTACGAAAACCAAAAAACCAAAAAATAGATACACAAAGAATTTTTAGTTTTGGAAGTTTGCTTTAGTGTTGTTATCTTAAAGGTCTTCTTATATGACAAGTATTAAAATGTTTAAACTAGTTTTATAATGTTCAGGATAGTTCCTGGAATACATTAGATGTTATATAACTATTTATTATAATACATAATGATTTATTCATAAGTCAAAATAAAAATACAGCCAATTTCGTTCTGTAGCACACTCTACTTTTCCAACTTTTCAAAATCAGGCAACATTACAATACAAATGAACGCATATAATCAGATTGTCCCTTAATTTACAAAGTAGGTTATAAATACTTTCCTAGTTAACATCTACTAATTCATTAGTTACAGGGTCATTTGTTTTTAAATATGAAGTAGATTCCTTTGAATACTAATCAGGCTAAATAGTTCAAATATTTACTATTCAAATTTCCCTTTGTATAATAAAAGCATTACAATTTAGTGGGTAACCACTATTAGGTCAGTGAGGACATAATGTTTGTGTTCATTTTAACTATCGTTTTATCCATTATATTGCACACTTTATTTGTATTCTTCAAAAACCTGTAAGGAGAAAGGGTAAGAGAGATCTTGTTGCACAAGCATGAGGACCTAAATTTGGATCCCAGGACCTACTATGTAAAAAGTCAGTTTTGGCTCAAGTACCTGACACTGTGGGGGCAGAAACAGGAAGATCGCTGGAGTTTGTGGGCTACCAATCTAGTTCCAGATTCAATGAAATCCTGTCTCAAGGGAATAAGGTGCACAATATACACAGCAGGACAACCCAGTGTCCTCCTCTGGCCTCCGCATACATGCAAAGTACACAGATCCCTCCCTCCATCCCCATATATACACAGGCACATATATCACAGGCACATATACCATACTCACACATACACATAACTGTATCTGGAGAGCTACAGTATATTAAGATTGGATTAATAAATATCTTTAAATTATTTTTAATTGATTCTAGGTAAAATGATGTGACAATAAGCTATTCTTTACTCTCTTATGTACCTTTTCACACGTTGCCTCAATTTTCTCTTTTTTTTTTGTCAATTAAACTTAGAATTTAGTTGGATTTTTTTCTCCTGTTTGAGTTTGCTTTAACTTTGTCAGTAAAATCAACTGTTTCAAATGTGGTATTTCAGTAACTCAGGACTCTAAGATTCTTAAAATGTCATATACTTAGTAATGTCCCTTAAATATAACACTGCAAAAATGTCATAACATTAAATATCCTTACAATATGATTGTAAGCTTTACACTTTAAAAATGTATTTATTACTTTTATCTTTTATGTGTTATGAGTGTTTTGAATGCATGCATAAAAGTGCACTCCTGCGTGCAATGTGCAGGGAGATCAGCAGAGGGCACTGGATCCCTTGCAATTGGAGTTATAATGGTTGTTAGCTGCCATGTGGGTGCTGGGAACTAAACCTGGGTCCTCAGGAAGAGAAGCTAATGTTCTTAATCACTGAGTCATCCCTCAAATCCCAAGTTTTATACTTTTCAAATTCAGAATGAAGAATTATCTGCACTCAAGTGCACATATACACATATAAGATCAGTTTTGCATATACTTAAGAGACAAAGGGAGAGGAACAAAGCAGGAAGGAGAGAAGGAAAAGAGGTAGGGAGAGACACAAATTGATTCACCATAAATCTTGTAGTAACTTCAGTCACTGTCACAAACAGTAACCTGTTACGTGGTACTGATTGAAGCAACTCTCCTTTAATCCTGAGTGTACTCCTAACTAATTCAGTGATTTTTGAACTCTTTTGGTTTCTCAACTACATGATCAGAGAAATGTGGAATTAAGACTTCATCTCTATAATCCCCTCCAACTCTGAAATTCCCATTATTTGCAAATCTGTATTCTAAGATTCTTTTAAGAAAGGATCATACCTGAAATCACTCAACCTCAAGAATAGGCACTTTTAAATAATCAGTCACAACTCTAGCAAAATAGAAGTAAATGGAGAAATACACTCACCAATATATCTTGGCCAACATGCTGCCTTCCCTTTTCTTCACAGGGTCCTAAAACCAACTTCCCAGTAGAAAAAAAAGGAGTATCCAATGTTTTAAATACTCTCAAATCACCATGCTCAACAAAAAATTGGTATGTATCTCGTGGTCTTATAAGATCTAGGAGAAAGCATACAAATATAAAGCACCACAAGCTAGACATTTAAGACAGTTTGTAATCCTAATCCCAGCACTTGGGAGACCCACTGACACAGGATGACTATAAATTGGAGGCCAAGTTGGGCTACAAAGAGGAAACCCTGTCTCAACAAAGCAAAACAAAACAAAATAAAATGAGACTGGCAATGATGTTGCTCAATAATGTATTATAAATATTTATATAAGAATTATATAAGCACATAAAATTTTCATTAAACAGAAAGACATGGTTATGACCACTGATTCTGGAAGTGGAGTGGCAGAAGTTATATATTCTGCCTGGCATACATGACATGACCCTAGACTAGTTAAGCACTAAGCCCCAAATTCCTTCTCTGTAAAAATAATAGTTAATCGATATAAAACAGCTGTTATGAATACTGAAGAGTTAATGTACATGAATTATTTAAAAGAACGCCTGATTCAGTTTTCCTCCCACTTGCAAACCTTTCTAGACCTATTAATAAATTCATTAATCATGAGCTTCTGACCCTAGATATTTGAGAATGTTAATGGTCACATATACTATGTAATAAAAGAAAATACATATAGACTGTTGAAATAGATAAAAACTGAAAGCACAACTTTTCTGCACTAGGAAAGCATCAGTAATGTTTCTAAGCTAAACAAAACTCTCTGTATTTCACCTCTGATGCCAAATAACCATGTCAATATATAACTTTTTTCAGATTTTATCCAAACACATCAAATAAACCAAAAATATTTCTTTTAATTAAATTAAAAAAGAAAAACCAGTTCATAGACAAAATTTAAGTGGGAATACCATTAATGAATTTCTGGTTTGACCAATCTGTTTCTGACTTAAGAGAAATAGTTGTTAGTACTGTCTAGTACAGTACTAACAGCTAGATATTTAGTACAGTTAGATATTTAAATACTTCCTGTAGGTAAATATTGCTTGGTTGCTAAATACCAAGTAGTCCCTAAATCCTCAGACCACAGCCATACATTCTTCCAGATCACCTATGGCATTCCAGAAACAAAATGTTTAAATGTCTACGTAATACATCGTGAGGTTTCTAAGATCTTAACGTTAAGGCTGATATCTGTATGACTGATTTATGCCAATGACAACTGTCCTTCACAGTGGCTTCATGCTCCAAATACCAAGACTGGGATCCAGAGGATCAGAAGATGGTATGTGTCCTGCCCACTGTCCCAGTTAAAGAAGGCTTAGATCCTGCTAGAGGAGATAATACCCCTGATGGGTAGTAGTAGCACTTGTACTCCAGAGTCCACAGGAGAAATACACATGACTATATGTATTTGACATCAATACTTAAGCAGAATTGTTCCCACAGAGGTTGTTTACTGGAATTCTTTAGTGCTGAATTGGGGGGCTAGAAAGGGGAAACACAAAAGTAGGCCAATCATCAAACCAAGAGCTTTTCGTTAAGCTATTTTCAGTGTCATTCCTGATCTTACCCATGAAGATAATCTCTCTTGTTTCTGGGTCCTTTACCCGTGTTGGCTGTAATGGGTCTCCTAGAGGTATACCAAAATTCACCAGTAATCTGTCCTCTGCAAAAGAGATACCACTGAAACACAAACTACTTACTTAAAATTATTCTCTGCTACAAAAAACTACTGACAAAGACACAACAGCCTCTTCCTATTCATAAATGATCACTTAAACAAAATTTCAAATCCTAAAATGTACAATGATTTGATATAACGCAAACACCTGTGTGGGCCCTTTGTAACACATCAACTCTTAATCACAAAGAAGAATTACATGATATTTTGCATATACCCTCAGAGAGCTATAATTACATAATAAACTTTCAAAGGAATTCATTAAAATGTCTACTGTAACCATACTTCCAGTATGGAACATGGAAGGGTCATTTGACTGGATAATTCCCTCATGAAGAAATGTTTTATACTACACAATTATACTATACTGTTTTTTTTTTTTTGTTTTTTTTTTTGTTTTTTTTTTTTTTTGTGTTTTTGGAAACGGGACCTCCTTGTAGCCCCAGCTGTCCTGAAACTCTTTTTGGGGACCAGGCGGCCCTCGAACTCAGAGCCCCCCCTGCCTCTGCCTCCCGAGTGCTGGGATTAAAGGTGTGCGCCATGCCCGACTTATTTTTTCAATATTTTATTTATTATTGTTATTATGTATATGAGTGTACTGACTGCATGTATGTACATGCACCCAAGTTTATGGACACTTGATAACTGCCATGAGAGTGTTCAGAACTGAACTCGGGTCTTCTGCAAGAGCAGCCAATGCTCTAAACTGCTGAGCCATCTCTCAAGCCCTATAATAAAACTGGCTTACCTTTAAAAGTAAAAGAGAAAAAATAAAACCTGTGAACATTAAAAACTTATTTTTATCCATAATTATGCCTGAAATTCTTAAGAGGCAAATTTCAAATTTTGTAGAGAATTTCTCAAAGCACTGTTATTTAAAATGAAGTCTAAAAGTACTTTTAGATGGGGTGGAGATGGCTCAGCAGTTAAAAACTTGCTGTTCTTCCAGAGGACCTGGGTTCCAGTTCCAGGGGGTCTGATAGCCTCTTTGACCTCTGTTTGGGAATTCCATGCACATGGTACAGCCACAAACATACAGGCAAAACACTTGATACATAAAATAAAAATAATAAAAAAATTTTAAGTTATTTTTAGAAACAAATTCATACTTTTTTCATGGTTATCATGGCAGATCCTTTTATTATTAGCTTTTTTGTTGACTTTGCCCAGGTTTCCTTTTGCCTTCCTTTTGGGTGATACCGAGCCTGGGGATATTATTCCACCAATCACAAATCCTCCTGAAATGTAACCCAAAAAAGGTAAAAATAACATAGCCAGGGACATGAAAAGCTTAAGGAAAAACATTAGATATATTATACTTCCTTTCCAAGTACCAAGGAAAATTTTATTGTTATTACATTCTACTACTAATTGACACAAATACTAACCAATTTCAATAATATCTCCACCACCATAAATCTAGAAGTGTGGATGAAACATTAATAGTCTGTTACTTGCTTGTAATAGTCATCAGTGAAGGGTTAAAAAATAGCAGAAACTAATAACAAATTTAAAGTAGTAAGTCACATGTGAATGTCCTTTAACCTTGCTATACCCATCTAAATAAGGAAATACCTTTAACACTTTAGCTGTACTAGTTTCTCTGATTTTATATAAAATGATACAATGGGTGTTAAGAATGAGAGAGATAGCTTTATCAGCTATCAATTTTCTCATGTTTTAAGGTTTCATTGTGGGCTGGAGAGATGGATCAAGAGTTAAGAGTGCACATTGCTCTTGCAAAGGACCCAAGTCTGGTTTCTAGTATTCTTGAGGGATGGCTCACAACCATATCTAACTCCAGCTCCAGAAGGATCCAAAGACTCTGGACTCATATGTAGATAGCAACAGCCATCAATGTAATTAAAATATATCTTTTTAAAAATAATGTTACTTTGTGCAATAAGAAATCTTATCAGATAATATTTAAGTGATAATATTCTATAAAGCCACAAAATCAAATAAGTAGCTATCAAAGAGAAATCAGCATTTCTATAATAATCAGTCAAATCTGAATCTGAATCCAGTTCTTACCACATATTTGTGTGTGGGGGGGTGATGAATAAATGACATGATGAATATAAATGTGTAGAACAGTGACTGGTACAAAGCAAAAAAAATTAAGAGAAATAATTTTTTCATTATAATATAAATTGGGTTTTTACCTGATGGCCTCTCTTGATAATCTATTCGCTCCCCTCTCCAGTATTCCAAAGGTTTCAAGCGTATTCTCTTGGTTCTGCGAACATTTGGTGTGTTGGAGGGCAATACTGTAAAAAAGATTACACAAAATGTGTTTAGGTGCTGGAGAAATGGCTCAGCAGTTTATTTGCTAGAGCTATTCAATTCTAGCTACAAAGGCCTGTACAGTTAGTAAACTTTCCATTATAATGACATTATATAAATAAAAATCATCTTGCTTTTTCCATTTGTTTTCTTCGTGCATTTTAGTTGCTAGGTTTCTTGGTGCATAAATGTTTATAATTTTTCAGCCGGGCATGGTGGCACACGCCTTTGATCCCAGCACTTGGGAGGCAGAGGCAGGCAGATCTCTGTGAGTTCAAGACCAGCCTGGTTTACATAGTGAGTTCCAGGCCAGCTGGGGCTACAGCAAGACCCTGTCTCAAAAAGACCAAAAACAAAACAAAACAAAAAAAATTTATACCTTTTCTATCTTCTCCATCTGCTATTCACTCTATCATGTCTTTTATTATCATATTCATCAGTTTTAACTCTAACCTAATATTAAAACTGCATTAATATTTTTGTTTGTATTAGTTTATCTAATTCTTTGACAATATTTTTAAATATTTCTTAGTTATTTTTGTGATGCTAATGATCAGAACTAGGACCTCTCAAATGCAAGTGTTCCACCTGTAAGTGGCACTTGCAGCCCAACAATCTTTTATTTGAAAGCTTGGGTGCCTATTACAAATATAGATTAGTTTATATTACTTAATCAATTCAAAAGAATCTAACTTAGAAGAGGAACTTAATCTATTCATATTTATTCAGGGTAACAACATGCTTCATTTTACTCCTTCCTTCTCACTTTATATTCACTAGATATTTTATCTACCAATCAGTGTTTAGTTTTCCTCTTTGCTTTTACTGGTTGAATCACCACTTTTGTCTCTCCTCTACCTATGGTCATTACAAAGATTTACCATGCTTTTCCACTCTAATACTAGATTACCCTCCCATGCTGATACTCATGAATCAAACTCTCTTTTTTTCTAGGATTATATAAAAATGATATCCTTTGGGACTAGAAGGATAGCTCAGTGGTACAGTGCTTGCCTAGTATTATTCCCAAGGCCATTGTTAACACCGTAATCAAACCAAATTAAAAAACTAGTCAATTGTAACGAAATGTTTCTTTTAATTAAAATAAATAAATAAATAAAAAATTCATGTCTAAAGAATACTAAAAAAAAAAAGAAAAAAAACAAAACTAGTCAATCCTTTCTCTTTTCCCACCTAGTAAAAACAAAACTTTAGATAAATTTTATTATCATTCTTCTGCCTAAGCTTTCCTCTCCACTATACTAAGTTTTATGAAGAAAACTTGTATAGATCCCAACATATTATGAAAATCTCTACTTAAGCACTTGTAAATTCCAATCACATGCGATCTATGTCCTAGCCATACTCTAAGGTAAGTATCAATGGGCCATGCTCTTGTGACGCTGAGAACCTGGACTTTCTTCTAAACAACAGACTGCTAAGTAAAATAAGCCAGACCCAGAAAGACAAAAAAAAAATTAAAAAAAAAAAAAAAGGAGGGTCTGGAGATCTCAGTGATTAAGAGCTCTGGTTGTTCTTCCGGAGGACCCAGGCTCAGTTCTTAGCACTACACAGCAGCTAACAACCATCCGTAACTCCAGTTCCAGGGAATCCAACGCCCTCTTCTGACCTCCGTGGGTGGGCATTGCATGACACAGGTGCACTTAAATACATGCAGGCAATACACTCATACACATAGCATAAAATAGTTTTTAAAAAAAGGAAGAAAATGTAAAAAGTAGAAAGAGGACTACGTAAGAAGAGATAGGAATAAGAAAAAGGGAGCAGGGGACAAGAGAGGTACAAATTTGATCAAAGTACATTATACATGTATGATAATGCCATAATTTTTGTACATTATGTACTAATAAAAATGGTAACAATTTTCAAATACACTATGTTACATGTGATGGAGTCACTCCTACAAATTATACCATGATTTCACATACAGATAGCTTTTTTGGGGGGGGCGGTCTTTCTGAGACAGGGTCTCCCTGTAGCCTTAGCTGTCCTGGAACTATGTGGACCAGGCTGGCCTCAAACTCACAGAGATCCGCCTGCCTCTGCCTCCCAAGTGCTGGGATTAAAGGCGTGCACTTTTTATATAACACAAAGCCACTACAATTACACAAAGTTCAGAGGCCAATGAATTCTGACTGGCAAATGTTTTAGAAAGCTGTGGAGTCTGAATATTGATATGGGCCTGTCACAGGCTCCACACCTCCCTCATTTGCCACCCTAGCCATTGTGCAAGAGTTTACTAGATGAAAACGGGAGGAGAATCTCTCAGGGACATCATCTTCCTGGCATTTACATGCTTATTCATAGAATTCTCCCCTAGCTTCTTTAATGAAGTGGGATCAAAGACCTCTAATTACTATGGAGCAAAGAGTGAGGGGCTATAGGACTTAGACAACAAAATAATAACTCAATGGTTTGTGATGATGTACTATGAAGTTCTTCAGAAATAAATATGTAATATTAATCTAGGTAAGTTTTCCCTTAAGAAAATTTAAGTTGTAAGAAATTTGTAAAAATTCAATAAAAAAAGGAAAAAAAGAAAAATTAAGTTATATTTATAGAGATTAAATAATAGCATTTTCTTCAATGGGAATATAAGAATACATTATTTTACCTAATTTGTGATGTATTTTCATATCCGGTGACATTTCAGATCTTTTTATTCTTGAATCACCTTCAAGAAGCAAAAGAGTATTATGAGCAATGGCTGCTGAGTCTATGTTGACTTAAAATATGTTATTTGAAAAAAATTATTCTATTTGTATAATTCCAATGTAATTATTACAAATAAAACTTGACCTAATAATACAGTTTATACTTTTTTTGTTTTTCATTACAAAGGAAAAATAATGTAACATTTTTCTAGGCTTTGCTACAGTGAACATATTTAAAGAGCACAACCATTAAAATTTTCGAAAAACATTTTCCATTGTCCATGAATGAGAAATAAGCCACTGGCAGATAAAAATACATGACACAATGATGAATCAATAATATGCAATAATGTTACCTATGATCTACTTGCAACTTTCTCCTTAAAGTTTTAATTGTACAAAATGCACTGAATTTAGCAATAAGCTAAACACTCAAAGGTTCTCAACCTTGAGTATGATAACCAGCCCAGAAAGACAGCTATCATCATTTTTGCCCTTCCTATATACAAGTGATTTTTATTAAGAAGCAAAGTCTCGTTTACTTCTTCCATTTCTACTGGCCTCAGTGACGTGGTACACTAATTGAATGCAACAAAAAACTAATTTCTTGGATTTTAAAGGTTAAGTCCTAAACCCTAAGATATTGCAAGTTCCACAATAATGATATATGAACATTAACTACCCAAGACTGCCATGCCATCAAGAAACCCAAGACAGCCACATGGAAAGGCCATGGAAAGGAAAAGAGATTCTTGCCCAACAACAAATACACCAAAAAAGAAATCAGGGAAACAATTTCATTCACAATAGCCTCACAATAAAATAAAATACCTTGGAATAAATCTAAGGAAGTGAAAGGTTTGTATAACACAAACATTAATACACTGAAGAAAGAAATTGAAGAGGATACTAGAGATGGAAAGTCTACTCATGGATTTGTAGGCTTAATATTGTGAAAATGGCCATTTTACCAGAAGCAATTCACAGATACAACATAATTTCCATCAAAATTCCAACGCAACTCTTCACAGAAATTGAAAAAATAATCTTAAAATTCATATGGGAACACAAAGAAAACCAGGATATAAAACCATGCTGAAAAAATAAAAGAACTACTGGAGCTATCATCATCCCTTATTTTAAGTTATGCTACAGAACCACAGCAATTAAAACACAGCATGGAACTGGCATAAAACAGGAATTAAAAACCTCCCAACTTGCTGGGCGTGGGGGTGCATGTCTTTAATCCCAGCACTTGGGAGGCAGAAGCAGGCAAATTTCTGAGTTCAAGGTCAACCTGGTCTACCTAGTGAGTTCCAGGACAGCTCAGGGGCTACAGGGAGACCCTGTCTCAAAAAAGACAAAAAACAAAAAAATCAAACAAAAAACCTCCTAAGTAAAAAGAATCCAGGATCAGACAGACATAGCACAAAATTCTACCAAACCTTCAAAGCCATTCATTACTCCTCAAATTATTCCATTAGATAGAGAAAAAGAACATTCCCAAATTCTATTTAGGAAGCCAGTATTACTCTAATTCCAAAACCAAAGTCTCAACAACAAAAAGAAAATTATAGAATAAACTCTGATGAACATAAATGCAAAATTCTCAATAAAATATCTGAAAACTGAATTCAAGAACACATGAAAAAGATTATCCACTATGATCAAGCTGACTTCATCCAAGGGATGCAGGAATGATTCAACATACATAAATCAATGTAAACCACCACATAAACAAGACTCAAGTACAGAAACCACATGATCATCTCATTAGGTGAAAAAAGGCCTTTGACAAAAAACAAACATCCGTTCATGATAAAAGTCATGGAGAACCTAGGGACACAGGGGATATAATCGCAACAATAAGGCAATATACAAGCCCACAGCCACCATCATAGAAAACTGAAAGCATTCCCATTAAAATCAGGAACAAGACAAGGATGTTGACTCTCTCTCCTTCCTGTTCAATATAGCACTTGGAAGTCTTAGCTAGAGCAAGAAGACAAATGAAGGAGATAAAGGGGATACAAACTGGACAGAAAAAAGCCAAAGTATCCTTATTTGCAGATGATATGATTCTATACATAAAAGACCCTAAAGATTCCAGCAGAAAACTCCTAGAGCTGATAAATACATTCAGCAAAGTAGAGGGATACAAAATTAACACACAAAATCAGTAGCCCTCCTATATACCAGCAACAAACACACTGAGAAAGAAACCTGGGAAACGATCTTATTCAGGATAGTCTCAAAATCCATAAAACATCGTGAAATAAATCTAATAAATAAAGGACTTCAACAGTTAAAATTTTCAGGGGCTAGGGAGATGGCTCAGTGGTTAAGAACACTGGTTGCTCTTGCAGAAGACCCAGGTTCAGTTCCCAGCACCACCATGTTGGCTAACAACTGTCCATATTTCCATTTCCATGGGATCCAATGACCCCCACAGGCACTGCATGACATGGATGCACTTACATACATGCAGGCAATATATTCATACATATAAAATAAAAATAATAAAATGTAAAAAAAAAAAAAACAAACTTCAAAACATTTAAGAAAGAAATTGAAGGTCCAGATGATGGGAAGTCCTCCCATACTGATGCATCGGTAGGACTGATATTGTGAAAATGGCCATCCTACCAAAAACAATCTACAAATTCAGTACAATGCTTGCTCATTAAAATTCTAACATAACTCTTCACAGAAACTGAAAAAATAATCTCATTTCATATGGAAACACAAAAGACCCAGGCTAGTCAAAACAATCTTGAGCAATTAACAACTGCTGAAGACATCACCATCCCCGATTTCAAATTATACTACATAACTATAGTAATAAAACCAGCTGATACTGGCATAAAAACAGACACAGGTGAACAGAATAAAATTGAGGACCCAAATTTAAGTCCATGAACTTACAGTCACCTGATTTTTGACAAAGGAGCCACAAATACACATTGGAGAAAAGACGTGTTCAACAAATGGAGATGATCAAACTTGATAGGTGCATGTAAAATGAAACTAGGTCCCTATCTCTCACCATGCATAAAACTCAACTCCAAATGGATCAAGGACCTCAACATAAGACCCTGATACCCTAAATGAGATAGAGAAGTTGGAAATATATCAGGAACATATAGGCACAGGAAAATATTTCTGAACAGGACGCCTATAGCACAAACATTAAGTTCAACAACTGACAAATGGGACCATATAAACTAAAAAATTTCTGTACATCAAAGAACACCATCACTCTAGTTAGGAAGGGAACCTATAGAGTGGAAAAAAAAATCTTTACCACCTATACCTCTGACAGAGGGTTATTATCTAGAAAACACAAAGAACTGAAAAAATAGCAAATAACCCAAATAAAAATTGAGGCAAGGAGCTGAACAGGGAGTTCTCTAAAGATGAAAAACAAATGGTTGAGAAATACTTTTAAAAATGTTTGACGTTTCTAGTCATCAAGGAAATGCAGATTAAAAGCACTCTGAGATTTCATCTTACTCCATTCAGAATGGTTAAGATACAAAAAGTAATGCCAAAACTGTTGAGGATGTGGAGAAAGGGGAACTCTTATCCACTACTGCTAGCCATGCAAACCGGGGCAGCCACTATGGAAATCAGTTTGGAGATTCCTCTAAAAGCTCGAATTGACATGATCCAGCGTATCATACCACTCTTGGGCAAATACCGAAAATCTCTACACCCTACTACAGAAATACCTGCTCATCTATGTTCATTGCTGCCTTGTTCATAACAACCAAAAATTGGAAACAACTTCTATTGTCCATCAACTGTTGAATGGATAATGAAGGTGTGGTACATTTATACAATGAAATATTATTCAGCTTTTTTTTTTTAAAAATTATGAAATTTACAAGTAAATGGAGGGAACAAATCAATCATCCTGAGTGAAGTAACCCAGAAAGACAATCAAATATCACATGTGCTCGCTCATAGCTGGATGCTAGTTTTGAAATCCTACATATGCATGTTTCAGTTTGAAAATCCAAAGAAGTCAAGAAATTAATAAATGGCCATGGAGGAGTTGGAGGAGAGGTTTCTTGGGAAGTGTAGTAAAATGGAGTGATATGAAGCGGGAACAGGTAACATTAGACAAGGAAGGGTTAAACTGGCTGGGGAATGGAAAGTCTGGGCAGAGGAGGGAGTTTGGGGAGATATAAAAAGCCCCAAACGTCTTTAGAAAAGCCATATGGAAACCTAGCACTATACAAGTTTCTTAAAGTATACACATACACGTTATAAAAAACAAATTAAAAGGAGTTACATTACAAAAGGGGACACTGCCCCATTAGATACCATAGACTAACAACATAAAACCCCAATGCCAAGAATGGACTCTCTTTCTTGAAGCTGTTGACCAGGGGTCCCACTAACCCTCAAACACTACTGGTCATTGCCCCTGTTCTGGGTTACACACCCTATTTCTGAAAACACTACAAATACGAGCTACAGAACAAACAAGGAGAAATCAAGTTGGTGCTAACTTCAGAGCCTCATCTCTACTAGCCAGCTTTCATAGTGCCGGAAGGTGCTATGCATGCTACCAGAAGGAAAAATAATCATCAACCTTACTCAGCTCCGAATCCACAGGCCATAAGGGATAGTCTAATACTATTATTCTGCTAAACAGATATAGTATTAAAGTGACTTGTAATGACATATTATTATACCCATAGATTAATGCATCTCTCAGCTCTCAACAGAGAGTAATTATCACAGAGATCCACAACTAGCCAATGTGAAAAGAGTAAGAGACTGCAGAGTGAATAACCCTGAACTGGATACCTGTATCAAACTCCTGCCTCCTAAGGCTGAGGGATCACTGTGGAAAAGAAGGTGGAAAGATCGTAAGAGGCAGAGGTGGTGGAATACCACAAGGAAATGAGAGTTTTCCAGACTGCTGGTCAGTTACTCAAATGAACTAACAGTGGTGACAGTATGCTTAAGTCCCATGCAAGCTCTAACCAGACAAAATCCCAGCATAACT